GTTAGACCAGTTTTATGTCTCTACTCCTACCGGTGAATCTAATGTGGCTAAGAGAGTCTATAGAAACTGTCCCATCTCCTTATTCCATAGTGTCACTCATGTTGATCGTGTAAATATTGATATGCTAGATTTTGATGTCATTTTTGGTATGGATTGGCTGCATTCTTGTTATGCTTCAATTGATTTTAGAACCCGAGTAGTCAAGTTTCAATTTCCAAATGAGCCTATCCTAGAGTGGGAAGGAGGAAATTATATTCTGAAAGGTTGGTTTGTTTCTTCTCTTAAATCTAGAAATATGATTTCTAAGGGTTGCATATACCATCTAGTTAGGGTGAGGGATGTGGATTCCGAGACCCCTACTCTTGAGTTGGTCCCTATTGTAAATGAGTTTTTGGATGTTTTTCCTGATGATCTACCCGGTATTCCTCCCGAAAGATAAATAGACTTTGGTATTGACTTTCTCCCATATATGCAACCTATTTTTATTCCTCCTTACCGAATGTCTCCAACAGAACTTAAGGAATTAAAAGAGCAATTAACTGATTTGTTGGATAAGGGTTTCATCCGACCGAGTATCGCTCAATGATGTGCTCTAATTTTTTTTATTCAAAAGAAAGATGGCTCGCTATGTATGTGTATCAATTAACGTCAATTGAACAATGTAATCATTAAGAATAAATATCCTCTTCCAAGGATAGATGATTTATTTGATCAACTACAAGGAGCAAGTTACTTCTCTAAGATTTACCTCCGGTCGGGTTATCACCAATTGAGGGTGAAAGAGGATGATATTGTGAAAATGGTTTTTCAAACTCGGTATGGTCATTATGAGTTTTTGGTAATGTCTTTTGGCTTGACCAATGATCTGGCCGCATTTATGGATTTGTGATTTTGTTCAGTGATGATATATTGATCTACAAAAGGAGTGAAGATGAGCAACCCGATCATTTGAGGATTGTGTTGCAACTCCTCAAGGACCAACAACTCTTTACAAAGTTTAGTAAGTGTGAGCTTTTGTTAAGATCTTTCTTGGTCACATTTTTTTTATAAAGGGTATTGAGGTAGATTCAAAGAAGACAGATGCGGTTAATAGTTGTCCTAGACCTCTATCCCCTTCAGATATTAGAAGTTTCTTATCGGTTACTATAGAAGGTTTATGGAAGGGTTTTCCTCGATTTCCTCTTCATTGACGGCATTGACCCAAAAGAAAGCTAAATTCTTATTGTCGGAAGCATGCGTAAAAAATTTTTAAGAATTGAAGGATAGACTTGCTTCCGCTCCGGTGTTTACTTTACTGGAAGAAACCGATGGGTTCGTTATTTATTGTGATGCTTCAAGAATTGGGTTAGGATGTGTCCTTATGAAAAATGGGAAAGTCATCGCCTATGCCTCAAGGCAACTTAAAGTGCACAAAAAGAATTATCCTACCCATGATTTAGTACTAGCGGTAGTTGTGTTTTCTTTAATGGTTTGGAGGCATTACTTATATGGTGTTCATGAAGATGTCTTTACCGACCACAAAAGTTTGCAATATGTGTTTAAACAAAAGGATTTAAATCTCCACCAAAGAAGGTGTCTTGAGTTACTAAAGGAATACGATATGAGTGTTTTCTATCACCCCGTCAAAGCGAATGTGGTGGCGATTGCTCTTAGTCAATTGTCAATGGGTAGTGTTTCTCATGTAGAGAATAGTAAGAAGAAGTTGGTTCGAGATGTTCATAGATTGGCCCGAATGGGTATTCGGTTGGTTGACTCTAGCAAAGGTTATGGGATGGCCCACAATGGTTCAGAATTGTCCTTTGTGTCAAAAGTGAAAGCAAAGAAAGGTCTTGATACAATCTTGATTGAAATAAAGGAAGCGCTACTTGAGAAATTTGTTGAGGCTTTCTCCCTAGGGAGAGATGGAGTACTGATGAATCGGGAATTTTGACTCATTTTGGAATTGTTATGTAATGAATTAGTGTCATCAATGCCTGTTTTGTGTCCTTAAGTGATATTAAAGTGTTTATTTGCAGCAATGAAGGTTTAAAAACAAGGCAAGGACATTACGATTCAAAAAGAAGCGAAAACATTAGAAAATATGAAAAAATGGATAGCTGGAGCTTGCTAAAGGCACTCGTCAACTCGCCGAGTGGGCTCCCAGCTCTCCAAATAATCAAGAGAGTTAGCTCATGAACTAGAGAAAATTGGCGATTGAGAGAGTATTTTGGGGATACACCGAATGGAACGGTGAGCTCGACCCAACTCACCTAAGTTTAAAGAATAAGTACGTGCAGAAGTAAAGCCAAAAGGTGAGAGAAGGTGCTATTTGGCGGATCGCCGAGTCGTTCGGCGATCCCGACCAACTTCACTGAAGTGGACCGCGTACTGAAACTTTGGGAAGTTTTTGGAAGAGTATAAATTGATTTTTGAAGAAAGAGAAAAGTGTCATACACAGTTTTTAGAATTTTTTACATACTTTAACATTATTGAATACATAAATTAGCTTATGAGTATTGTTAATTGCTATATTTAATGTTGTTTTGAAATGGGTTCAATCATTTATTCATGTTTTGATCTATGAACTGAAGTTGCAGATTTAGTTCTAGTCTTAGCTCTCAATGTTTGCTTGAGAAAGTTGCATGCAGTAGAATAAATAATTGATAATTGTTTTGGCTTGTGTCTTTCCAATTACGCTTAATAAAATGGGTTAATTTATGGAATTGGGTTGTTTTGTATTGCGAAGCTTGTTGAGGTTCGAAAAAACTCACTCGAAGCATAATAGCTGATTGAAATATAGTTATTATATTCAAAGCCCATCCTACCCATTGATATTCAACAACATAAGGCAGTTGATAATTACCCATTAAGTGAAATTAGTGTTCAATTACTCACACACTCCTAAGGCCCTCTTTATACTTGTTCAAACTCCATACTATTCGTTTCTGTTAACAATTGGTTACCAAACTCTCTTGATATTGAAAATTAAAACCTATTTGATTTACATTATGCTACATGTTTTTAACTTCCGTTCTACCAGAAATTAGAACACTTCAAGACTTCGTACTTGAGTTTTTTACTGTATCACTCCTTGTGGGATCGACCCCAACTTTTCGTTGAGTTTATACTTATTAGCGACTGCCTACACTTTGAATCACACAAGGTGAATTTGAGCATTATCCAAAATGGCGCCCTTGTCGGGGATGTGGTGTCTATAATTCTTTTATATAATTGTTTTTGTGATCTAATTTGGTTGTAGTAGAATTTTCTTATTAGTGTTTTTGTTGTTTGCTCTCAATAGGTGAAGAAATGAGTGTGAACGGAAGCAATACGAGTCAACATGCACAAAATGATGACATTGGAGATTTGAACGATATTAATGCAGAGAAATTGGGAAGTGTCGGTGCTATTCGTTTGCCCCCAACTGTGGGCAACCATATTTTTTATGTGATCGAAACTATTCTTCAGCTGCTCCAAATGAAAGGTTTCTTTGGGGGACTTGCTCATGAGGACCCTCATGATCATATACGGAATTTTGTGGAAACGTGTGGACCTTTCTTCTTCACGAACATCTCTCAAGAGTCAATCCGACTTCGTTTGTTTCCCTTTTCTCTAATGGGGGAAGCAACGAAGTGGTTGGCCGAGCTACCAAGAGACTTTATTACTTCTAACGAAGAACTCATGAAAGTGTTTTATGAACGATTCTTTCCTCCCTCAAAGACGGTGAAATTCAGGGATAACATTCAAAATTTCAAGCGGATTGATAGTGAACCTATTCATGTAACGTGGTTGAGGTTTCAAAATCTACTTCTCAAATGTCCTACTCATGGATTGCCTGATAATGTGCTCTTGCAATATTTCTACCGGAGTCTTGACACTGTCAACAAAGGTGTTGTCGATCAACTTATTAAGGGTGGAATTATGAGATAACCATTTATCGTGGCGTCGCCGTTGCTTGATGTGATGACCAAGATTAACCGGGCATGGTATACAAGGGAGAATCAAGTGTCTCCTCTAAATATTGGGTTGACTAAAGAACAACTGGAAAAGAACCAAGAGCGTGATGAAAATATGGCCAAGATGATGACCCAAATGGACTTATTGACAAAACATGTCATGGGTAGTGGTTATAAGGTCATGAATGAGATTGGTGCTTATAGTGGGATGAGCCCGGATGATGCATAATATGAAGCTATGTATAATGAAGAAGTTCAATTCTTGTCGAACCAAGATAAGGGTTCTCGTCCGAGCTATCCAAGGCTGGGTAGGAATCAATGTTGGACCAAAGATCATGATAGTGGTTGGAGAGATAGAGAGCATGATTGGCATGATCGGGTTGCAAATTGGAGAGAAATGGATGGTGATAGAGATCGTTATGTGCCTCCTCATGACCGTCCAAAGCCTAAGGAACCAAATGTCGATCCCAAAAGCTTTCAAACCGAGGATATGCTAGCCCGCATCCTAAACAATGTGGAAGGATCGGATAAGGTTCTCAAGAAGATGACGATTGATTTCTCATGTATGAGTCAAACGGTGAACTCTTATTCGGTTTCGATAAAATAACTTGAGACCGAAATGGGTCAAATTTCTACTCACTTGAATCCGAGACCAAAAGGGGGTTTTCCTAGTTATACACAACCAATCTGAGGAATGATAATGCATAATGCATGACCATCATGACCGGGAGTGGTAAAGTTGTGGAAAGTGATACGCCAAATGATAATAACGCAAGCTGAAGCAAAGGGAAAGCCATTATTTTTTAGAATGATGCACTTGTCGAAGAGTTGAACAATGAAACCTTGAATGAGATTGATGATGCCTAGAAAAATGTCGTTCCTGATGATGCTAAAAGGTCAAATGTGGGGGTCGTGCCTCATTCGGTACCTACAAAACCGCTATCCAAAGTTACTCCACCATTTTCTCAAAGATTGAAAAAGAGGGATGAACGCACAAGGTTCCGAAAATTTATTTCCGTCTTCAAGACTCTTTCCATTAATATCCCTTTGGTGGAGGCGTTAGAAATGTCGGGTTATGCTATGTTTTTGAAAGAGTTGGCCACAAAGAAGAGAAGTATGGACTTCGAGACAATTGAGGTATCCCATAGTTGTAGTGTCACTATATCGAGCAACGTGATTGTCAAGAAGGATGACCCGGGGGAATTTACTACTCCTTGCACTATTTGGATATTCCAATTTGCTAAAGCATTGTGTGAATTGGGGGCTAGTATAAACTTGATGCCTTATGCTATTTTCAAGCAACTTGGGCTAGATGAGACTAAGCCTACCTCTATGTGTCTTCTCATGGCCGAACGCTCTATCAAGCTCCATGTGGGAATTCTTTATTACATTTTAGTGAAGGTGGAAAAATTTATATTTTTGGTTGATTTTTTTATCATCTATTGCAAGATTGATTTCGTGGGCCCTATTATTCTTGGTAGGTCATTCTAGGCTACCGGAAAAGCTCTGGTTGATGTGGAATGCGGTGAATTGAAATTCTGTGTAAATGGTGAGGAATTTACATTCAATGTTTGCAAATCAATGAAGCAACCAAATGACCTCCATGTGATATCGGTCATTGATGTGATTGATGAAGCAGTTGCTAGCATGAGTGAATTTCGTGTGTTGGTGAATCTTTGGTTACCGTTCTTTTGAATTATGATGGGGATAGGATTCAAGATTATGATAAACTGGTGGTTGGTCTCTCGGATTTAGGTTCTTATTCTAATAGCCCTTTGAAACTTGATATGGATTTGAAGAATATAGAAAGTCCTCCAGCAAAGCCATCTATTGTGGAACGACCGAAGCTCGAATTGAGGTACTTCAACCTCACCTTCATTATGTGTTCATGGGAGCCAATAATACTTTGCCCGTGAGTATTATGGAAGAATTGAGTGAATGACAAGTGCAAGTGCTTGTTAGTGTGTTGAAGAGGTTTATCAAAGTTATAGGGTGGACGATTGCCGACATTGTCGGAATCTCTCCCGGTATTTGTACTCACAAGATTCAATTGGCTAGTGATTTTAAGCCAAGTATTGAACATCAAAGGAGGTTGAATCCTCCAATGCAAGAAGTCATCAAGAAAGAGATTTTAAAGTGGATTGATGCGGGAGTTGTCTACCATATTACGGATAGCAAGTGGGTTAGTCCCATTCAATGTGTTCCAAAAAAAAGTGGTATGACTGTGATCCATAATGAAAAAGGAGAACTTGGGATAATGCGACCGGTTACCGTTTGGTGTGTATGTATGGATTATCGAAAGTTTAACATGTGAACCAAAAAGGATCATTTCTCGATGCCCTTTATGGATCAAATGCTTGATAGACTTGAGGGGTGTGGATGGTATTGCTTCTTATATGGTTAATCCAGTTATAATCAAATCTCCATTGCAACTAAAGATCAAGAGAAGACAAACTTCACATGTCCCTATGAGACGTTTGCGTTTAAAAGAATGCCTTTCGGATTATGTAATGCACCGGCAACGTGTCAACGGTGTATGATATCTATTTTTGCCGATATGGTAGAAGATTCAATGGAGGTTTTCATGGATGATTTTTTGGTTGTGGGAGATACATTTGAAGCATGCCTTGATCCCCTTGGTAGAGTTTTGCGAAGATGTGTTGAAACAAACCTTGTTCATGATATACGTTTCAACCACACCTCATCCAATTCTAGGTGTTCAACGATCATAAATCAGTATAAAACCCAACTAAATGAGTTAGGGTCGAATCCCACAGGGAGTGGTACGTGTTTGAGAGTCAATTGGGAAGTATGAACATGATCAAATCGGTCATAGGAATAAACATTATCGGATAAAAGCATCATTAAAATTGGGGGATGACACGAATATCAAATAAGGGTTTTGGTTTGAAATTATCAACTACAACCAGTGGCAAGCAATATGAAATACCAATAATGAGACGGGTTCTTGGGATGTGATTCGATTATAGGCTAATATAGACAAATGGGTAATTGCAACTATTTGAATATAGCTAGATATTAGTGGGTAAGCTAGGCCATAGAGGAGATAAACTTTCTCTCGAACAATTTATCCCGAATCAAGTTGATTTCTCTCGAACATCAACAAGCAAGAAAAATAAGAACAGCCCACATCTTATCCATTCACTCTCTCGAGTTGAATGTGTGGGATTGAGTTTAGGATTCACTCTCTCAAGCTGAACCCAGGTCAACCCAGTACCCACAGACCATCAATCAATAAGTTTAGTTTTAAAACCTCTCTCGAGCAAGTCAAAAGCACAAGGGTAGAACTACATTTGCAACTACAATTCTTAAATTAATCCACAGTTAATGATTAAACTCACTTCTAAACAGCATTTAAACCAATAATTAGCAATACCCAAAACTAAATCATCCCATAATCACATAATCACATCCCAAGAATTGGGGTTTTAAATAGACATTATAAAAAGATAAAAATCGTTACCAAATTGAGTTTCCATCAACTGGGTAAGATTGATTTAGTCTTTACAATGTTCCAATTCAAAGAATCTAAAACACCCACTTCCAATTTCTCAAAAGTGAAAAACTTCAATTCTTCAAAGCTAAAGAAAACTGGAGAAAACTTGTCTCACAATTCAAAACTTAATAAAAATATGTTCTAAAGAGTAACTGATTCTAAACTAAATTTTCAAAAACGTATTTATAGTCACCAAATAGGTGCTGCGAACAGTCACTCGGTGAAGTCAGTCTGGCTCGGCGATCCGCCCTTTGGTCATTTTCATCGCCCTTCTGCCTTGGCCTTCAGCATCCTCATGGTCTGTAACTTTGTGAGATCCAACACTGCATCGCGGAACCACTTGGTGATCCGCCGACTGCTCCTTTCTCTCGCCAACTTGGTTCTTTTCTTCAGGGCTTAGCACAGTGGAACTTTAGGCGGTCAAGTAGCCATTCGGCGACTCGGCAAGTGGACTTGGCGATCACCAGGCTTGCATTTCTTCATTCTTTCAGCTCGCTTCGTCCTTTTTTGCAAATAAGTGTCCTTGCTTTGTTCCTCAATCCATATACCTGGAAATCAAGGGGTTTACGTCAGTTATTGGCACAAAATAGGCATTTAAAGATGCTAAATCTATATAAATAAGCCTTAAATGAGTCCAAATCTTGAACTCATCAGTTGATAATTGGGAGGAATGCCATTTCATGGCCAAGAAAGGTATTGTGTTGCGACACAAAATTTCAGGAGAAGGCATACAAGTTGATCAAGCTAAAGCTGAAGTTATTGCCAAATTGGCCCCTCCTATCTTGGTTAAAGGTGTTAAGATGTTTCTTGGGTCATGCGGGTTATTATCGACGGTTCATAAAAGATTTCTCTAAGGTGGATCACCCTCTTTGCAATCTACTTGAAAAAGAAAGTGTCTTCGAGTTTGATGAATCTTGTGTCAAGGCATTTTTGTGCTTAAAAGAGAATCTCGTTTTGGCTCCTATCATTGGTGCTCTGGATTGGATTGTTCCATTTGAGCTGATATGCGATGCAAGCAGTGTGGTCTTGGGGGTTGTGTTTGGCCAACGAAAAGGAAATTTGTTTCATACGGTGTATTATGCAAGAAAGACTTTGAATGTAGCTCAAAGGGATTACACAGTTACTGAGCAAGAGTTGTTAGCCGTGGTGTACGCTTTTGAAAAGTTTAGAGCTTACCTTTTGGGGACAGTGGTGGTACATACCAACCATTCTGTGATTTGTTACTTGATGGCTAAGAAGAATGCTATTCCAAGGTTGATTCGATGGGTGTTATTGTTGAAAGAGTTTGACTTTGAGGTCTTAAACGTCAACGTATGACTCCCAAAGGAAAAACAAAAAGTTGTCAAAAACTTAGGACTTACAGATGGGACCTACGCCCCGTAGGTCCATCCACACCTCGTGGGGGAGGTCCGTAGGTCAAGGCCCCAAGATGTCGAGTTGCAAACCCCACCCATGGACCAGCAGGATGGGGCGTGAGTTCACCCACGGTCCATGGGTCAAGGGGAGTGGATCACACCTGGGAATCTGCCTAGGCTCGGCCAATTAAGGGCCAAAGTGGTAAATTCCTAGGGTGGTTAGTTAAGTTAGGGGTCGGTTTATTTTGATTATTTAGAGTTATTTAAGGCTTTTTACACTATTAACTACCCTTTTACAATTCATTATTCCACAAACCCAAAATACAAACTACCTTCTCTCCAAATATTTCTCTCTCTAGAAACCTCTATTGGAGAAGAAGAGGTCAAGGTTTGGAGCTCAAGATTTCATATTTTCTCTTCAATTCCATGGAGAATCTCAATAAAGGTATGGTAGTTTTCATCTATGGGTAGCTTTCACCAATAGAGTCCCTTCAAAACATGATTTCAAAGGTTCCAAATTCCCGCAAAAGTTAGGGATTCAATCTAAGTCATGGGTTCAATTTCAAAACATTTTCAAAGGTTGATTTATGATGAATTATGATTGAATTAAGGAATTAATGTTGTTTTTTGATGAAATTCCCCCATTAACCCATGATTCCCCCAAAACACTAAATTGTGAATTTATAATGTCGGTTGATTGATTACATAAGCATGTTAAGTAATTATGTCTATATTGATTGAGTTATTGAATCATGATATTCCCCTTATCTAATGTATAATTCTAGATATTTGGTTGAGATTGATTCATAGCCTTGGAGGGCAAATTATGAAGGATTGATGTATAATCATGATGTTATGTATATGCTTTGTGATTTCAATGAAAGTAATGTGATCATGTCTAGAATTCAATTGTGTTATTATTGAAAGGTTATTCTCAATTATATACTTATGAATGATGATGATATATGTGAAAGGTTTCTTCAATGTAATGCTACATCTTGAATTGGTAGGCTTAGGCATCCTCTTCTTATGTAAATAATGTATCTTGACTTAATGAACAATGAATCAGTAGACCTAATGGTTGTAGCCCTTTCATAATTGATTAATGAAGTATTATAGGCTTTGTCTTGAATCGGTAGACCTCATGGTGGTAGCCCTTGCATGATTGATGAGTCGAAAATTTATTTTAATTTTCACAATAGAATAGTACTTTCTGGGATATTTTCTCTAATGTTTGGAGAGGGTTTTTTGGAGACTTGAAGAAAGAAGGATTTCATCTTCCCCAAGTTGGAAGTAGGTCTTCTCCATTCTTCTTCCTTTGCTTAAATCAAGGTTTAATTTCTTATACCCATTTGATTTTAGTATCATTTTTGGTGTATTTTGTTATTTCTTGATGTGTGGCTAAAAACCCCCATTCTTGGGGTGTGATTCAGCAAATATGTGTTGATATTTTTTTTGGGTCTTGCTTGCTAATAGTTTAGATGTATTTTAATGGTGATTTCACCTAGTGGTTGTGGTTTAATATAAGGGGTTTGTAGTTGCAAATACAAAACCACCCATGTGTTTTCGGCTTGCCCGAGAGGGAGGCCGTGAAACTAAGACCGCTAGACTGATAACCTAAGGAGTGGGTCGACATGAGGTTCAGCCCGAGAGGGTGAGCTCTAGTCTCATATCCTAACACTCAGCTCGAGAGAGTGAGTGGGGTAAGGCATAGGCTGACCTTCATGCGAAAAATGGGTGTCCGAGAGGAACGCATTAGAAATAGGGTAAGTTGCCCGAGAGGGAACTTATTTCCATCTAAATCTTAACCTAGTCACTATTATCTTGCAAATTTCCTGTCAAAAGCATGTACCCAATGATTTATCTCAACTTGTATTGCAGTCACACCCCAAGAACTTGTCCCCATACTTGATTTTCTTGTTATTTTTATTGTTTTTACTACTTGTGACGAAACCCCCATTTGATATTTGACACCTTTGTGTCACCTCTTTTAATTTACAATATTTTTAATTGTTAATGTCTTTAGCTACGAATAGTTAGAACTTAATTTTATTTTTCTACTAATTCTCAAAATCACTCCCTTGGGACACGACCCCAACCCTTGGTTGGGTTACTATATTATCAACAATCGTAGACACTCATACGGTAGGTTAGTGTCGTTGGTCACGATAAGCATCAATGATGAATCTATGAACGACTATAATAATGTACCTTGGATCGGTAGGCTAATGGCACTCTTCCATGAATGATAATGATGAACCTTGAATTAGTAGGCCTATGGCACCCTTTCATGAGGATTCAATGAGTAATCCTAATAATGTACCTTGAATCGGCAGGCTCATGGCACCCTTTCATGTGTGTAATAATGTACCTTGGGTCGGTAGGCCAATTGCATCCCTCTCATGTGTAATAATGTTAAAGTAATGAACTACTTTATGGGAATCTAAGCTTAGCACCGAGTGGATATGGTAAGATGGAAGCTCTCCCCATGTTAGGCTGGATTTCAATGAATATCTTTCTTATCCCATAACTATGTGCCCACATAGGTTATTAGCTAGTAGATCCACCTAAGCTAAAATATTATCAGTCCTACCTTAGGCAAGTAGATCAACCCTTTACGGTGTGGGATAGACACTGGATTCCATGGTTTTCTCACATGGTCTATGTCGGTTAATGGTTATTCCCATCATGTGAGATACATGTTATGGTTACTCAAGAGGTTCTATGAAGTGTGGGTGGTAGTATGGGATGCCATTCATACATTGCACGAGTAGGCTTTGAGAGGGCTATGGTGTGTTTCTCTAATGTGCTAATGTCTAATGAAATGAATGTGCTCATATGAAGTTAATGACAATATTGACTTAAAGGCTTAATGTAATGATGAATGCTTAACTTGGAAATGTTAATATGAGTTGCTTTCCTTGTCATGCCTTATCGAATGTGAATGTTCCTTGTCTATGATTACTGACTAAAGAGGAGAATGAAGAATGGTAAGTATGTTATGGTGGCCTCAAAGTGGTACTTAGTATGAATGGTATTATGGGATGCCATTCATACATTGCACAAGTATAACTTAGGGTTACTTTCATGATTGCTCTATTGTATTCTAATGACTTACATGATGAATATGCTTATGTCTTGTATGTTTATACTAAAGATGCATGATGATTCTCAAACTTGACATATAGCATAGTTTTCAACCAAAATGTCCTTTTTAGCATGATTTTTGCATGGCTATCATACTTAGTACATATTTGTGCTAACCCATATTTCTTCTACATTTTTCACAAAGTGTAGGGTTTGGAGACTTAAGTTCTATTCTTGGAAGATGGGTTTCTAAGGTGCAAGGAGTTGAAGATTTGGTGAGTCCTCATAGCTTCGATGGCAAACCTACCTATTAATTTATGTCTTTTATTTTATGTTTAGAGCTTTTGTATGGGCTGCGTCCCAAGGTTTTTTGTCTTATGGTTCTAGATGGTTTGAGACAAAGTATAGACTTCCGCTCATGTTTATGAATGACTTCAATTGTAAAAGAAAAAGTTTTAAATTTCTGCACCATATTCTATTGTCTTATGCTATGAATTATATAAGACTTGTATGAGGCTCTTCGGAGTCTTGTACACCGTGTCATGTCAGGGTGTAGGCTCGAGTCGTGACAAAGAAGGCTAAAGGAGTTGTTATCACAGCGGAAGTTGAGACTCCCCAACCCACTAGTCCTAAACCTCCTTCGGCGAGTGGTATGGGAAAGGGAAAGAAGCAGGTAGTGATAGTTTGGGCATCGATTCCACCTATCTCACCTTATCTGGGTCAGAGAATGAGAAAGTTGAGGGGTCTAGGACTTTAGTCCATACACCGGCACCAGAGTGAGATTTGTTAAAGTGGAGGTGTTTAGAGCTGCGTTCTAAAGTAGCTCATGATCCACAAGTACAACTTTTAGCACCTCCAACACCACAAGCACAACAAGTGCCTCATATTCCAGCACATCCTCCTCGGTCCATGAATCGGTTAAAGGTTGTTAGCTTGTCGAAAATACTCGAGGAGAAGCAGTTTTATAGACGGTGTGGTGGACAAATACCCCACTGTTCGGTAGACCTTGAGGTTCCATAAAATCCAGTAGTTCAACAGACCCCAAAATCCATATGTGCCTACATGGGTTCAGAAATTCTTTGAGGAATATGAAAAGTTGGTCCCATGGGGAAGGCAGGGTCGATGGCACCAGTTGATTTTGGTGAGGTGCGCAGAAAGAAGGTCAAGTGCAACGAGATAGACATAAATGATTAGTTTAACTGCATGACTCAGACTCGACACTTTTTGGCTGACATGGTAAAAATAATGTCTCTTGAGGATTTGAAAGGGTGGCTTGCCCCATTGTTGTGTGTTTTCACACCCTCATGGATCGAAGCGGGGGAAGTTATTGAGAATAAGGACAAGAACATCACAACACGGTACTGGTTCGTATTTATTAGCAGCACTTTGATGCCATCCCAGAATGACTCCATCATCCGGCATCCGAAAGCTGCCATTCTAGGATGTATCATCACTTGGGAGCGGTTAAATATTGGGTCCATAATTGCACAGGAGATGGCTATGAGGGCCAAACAAAATTTAACCTCATTGCCATTTACAGTCTTCATTAGTGATTTGTGTAACCGAGCGGGTGTGCCCTTTGTGGCGAAGATGGATGTTGAGGTGACTCATACCTCATCTCGTGACATTCGTCTAATTTAAGCAGAGTATACAAAGGATGAGGCTGAAAAGAGGAAGAAAGCTTCGATGGACACCTCTCCGGTTGTTGATTTGGATTCTATTGGGGTCGTCCCTACACCTTCCACTCTGACCGATGGGCCATCAGGTATACCAGCCTCCTCATAATCTACTAGTCCTACCCTTGCTCCTGTCTCCCATCCCCCATTGACCCAGTCCATGATCTACAAAATGGGAAACCTTGCCTATTCGGTGGAT